TTTTTAATTTTACAGCAAAATAATAATAATAATAATAATAATAATAATAATAATAATAATAATAATAATAATAATAATAATAATAATAATAATAAATTACATATTAAATTATATATATATATATATATATATTTGTTTAAATATATAAATATGAAAAAATTCTAAATCATAGTATGTTATTAATATGTTCAGGTGCTTTGAGTGCCAAGGTTTCGGGCTCAAGAGCTGTCCGGTTTGTGGCAAAGGAGGATTGACACCCGAGCAACGAGGAGAAAGATGATGAAATAAATTAACATTTTCAATTAAAAAATGTTTAATTTTATGGATATATCTATTTTTTTTTTTATTTCATAAATATCATCATGAGAGCGTTAAATTGGAAAACTCTATAGTTAATTTCGTATAGATAATATTATGATCAAATCATGCTGCATTATGTTTTTACACAATTTTATTCACTACTAAGAATGAAATAAAAATAGTATTTTTACATTAATTTGTTTATAACCTACAAACTAGTACAATACCCGTGTATTACACGGATGATTGTTAAAAAATTATTCTTAAATTTTAAAATTAATGAGAAAACTATATTAAATTTAGTTTACTTTTTTACAAAAAAAAAAATATATTACTATATATTTTAGAATGATATGTGTTACTTATGACTTACATGTGTTATATTATATTAGTTTTTATAATATATATCATATAACTACTTGAAATATAAATATATTAGTTCATAAATAATTTTATTTTTCTAATTAATATTAAAATAATTTTATTATTATTATACATATAAATATAAATTATTTTTTTATACATACAATATGAATGTTAAATCGAAGCTCATCAAAAGAAGATTAATTTGATATATTACATATGTAAAACTGATAAAAAATACAAAAGTTATTAACTTTTAAAATTTATATACAATTCAATAGTTATAATAAGGAATGATATTAAAATGCAATTAATACATATAACATGACCATAAATAATCAACATATTTATGTTAATCCGAACCTAATTATTTTTGGTTTGGAATTAAATTAAAATTTACCTAAGCCTAATAACGAAACATGTAATGTTGACATATAGGATTCCGAAGCACCAGAAGCTGCCACGTAAGCTCAGCGTGTTCTAGATTAATATATAGGGAATTATTAATGTGTAATCAGTAATTGTTAATTTATGCGAAATTCTTAAACAATATAACTCACTCATATAATTCGGTTGGTTGATATTATTTGAAAGAGTCAAATTATAATAAAATTATTTAATATAACAAATTTGGTATAATATGCAAGAATTTTGATAATGTAAGAGATGTATAATAAAATTAGAAACTCCTAAATCAAGGGGAATTTTGACCTTTATTTATTTATTTATTTATTTTTTCATTCTTCTTCTATAAGGGCATCCGCATTGGTTTAATAAAACTTTCATTTATTCAATCAAAAAGTTACACTCTCTCTCATCTACATCATCTTTCCACCAAATATCTCTCCATTTAAACACACACTCACATTCATACTCATTCATTTAAATACATATGTGGGACCCATTATCCACTCATTCAATATAAATTTTTATATTCTATCCACAATAAAAATAATTTTAATACTTTTAAATTATAACAATAAATTATAAATACATGAAAATAAAAAAAATACAAGAGCAAAATAACATCCTCCCTATATATAATTTCCGAATGCGCTGAGCCTACGTGGCTGCTTCTGGTGCTTCAGAATCCTACTTGGCGAATAATCATGCTTCGTAATTAGGTTTGGACAAATAATATTGATATATTAATAATTAATAATCTAGGTTCGGACATTCCATATATATTATTTATCTAACTTAGGTATTTCAATATCACTTGTACTATAATAACCCTTTAATTATTTGTAATTTAACATAGTGAGGTACTAAGTGACTAATATATCCCTGACTTTGATTTGTTTCCTTCAATGAGCTATTGAATTGTAAATGAATTTTAAAAGTTGATAACTTTTGTATTTCTTATCGGTTTTACATATATTATATATCAAATTAATCATCTTTTGATGATCTTCGATTTGACATCCATATTGTATATATAAAATAAATAAATTAT